TTTGTGGAGGAAACTCTTACACATACAGTCAGTCATATGCACTCACCACTGGTATTGACAGCACTGGCGGCACCACATTGGAGCCTAGCTACATGAATCATCAGGGACAACCCAAAGTGTATACCAACTGTCCATACATGAATAGAGAGCATCATAGAGATAGCTTTGTGGATGAAAAACTGGTGGTGTACCTTTTGCAGGTGACAGTAGCTAATAAGATGGTTTTGAAACGGTCCATAAAACGCTGTAGCAGAACCAGAGTTGTTGGAACTTGTGAGAGGTTGTACGCGTATTATTGTTTTGCAGTACACCCTCATTCTCGATAGACTGGCATATGTTATACTGACCGAGACGCTTAGTGTAGCCGCACCGGACCAAAGAAGGTCCTATCACATGCGTTATAGTGACAATTTGACCCAAGGCGTTTAGTCAAGGTCGAATACGTTCTAGAATGGTACTGTTGTATTTTAAACGGTTAAGACAGTTATTCAGCGTAAACGGTTTAGGGTGGCCCGAGGCTTGTTTCGTCAAGTCGTGCGACTTTGCCCGCACCGAGTTATCGCACCTGCCCGCTACGTCCAAACACTGTAGCCAGTGCTTCCGACGGTGAGAAGGGTGAGAATGAGGGTGTATGTTATACGGTGCAGAACGTTGAGCGTCCGAACTGATTGCTGAACTAGCAAAGTTCCAGGTCCAGCGTGGATGCGAGTTCGCGAGTGTTCGTTGTTGGCGCGGAATGCATTCAATGTTTGGTCAACAGAGGCTGTCTCTTGGCCACTGTCTGTCTTAGAAATTGGTGTGCTGTTGCTGCTTGTCGCTCGGCTGGTCGCATCGCATCGCGCATCGGATCGCCTCGCATGGCGCGGAAAGTAGGTGGTGAGGTGACCAATGACCATGTGCATTGCGTCGTTTGACCTGCGTGGCTGGCAGGCTCAATCTTGATCTTCGGGCCTTCTGTCCTGCTGTCGGGGGGGATACGCTGTCCTTTCGGTGAGGAAACAAAACAAACCAACCAACCAAGACAACGTGCGGCCCCAAATGGGTTTGGCAGGGGGGTTGAACGCGGTGGGAAGGCGCATGCAGCTCAGTCACACAACACACGGATGGCACAGACCTGTGCGGACCCGGGCTGACTTGACACCGACGAAGAATCACGAACCAGCGCGACCTGAGCTGGCGGCCCGAATCAACCGCCGCAGCCCCGTGCGAGCAAGATGCGGAAACCCTGCTTCGTGCGAGGTGTGGTGTGGCGGTGGTGGTGGTCGCACGCACTGTGGTTGGCGCACGCAACACTCGGTTGTTCGCGGAGGCAGAAATCTTGCTCGCAGAAAATGCTGCGGGCCAATCAGTGTCGAGGCCCAATTAAACCTCTGCACAGCGCAGAATAGTTTCAGCACACTGAACCACAGTGGAATCATCTACAGAGCACGATACCATCTCCAACCATGGTTCCTCTCCATTATCCCGCAAGCTACCTTCACCGACTCCCCTTCACTTCGCACCGTTGATTGCCAGCGCAACGAAGAGTTTCCAGGACCACCACCAAACCAACCCCTGCTGTTCCCTCCCCAGCTTCCTCCTCACTTAGAAAGCATTTACAGTACGGTGTGTTTGCCAAGCTTTCACCCGCACACGCCATGTATTTATGACTCTCCCAACGTAAGAAACTTATTCACCGCCTCGCATCGTCACATTTCTTGATTCTTACTCAGCTCTTCACTGATTAGCAAGCAGCTCGTTTCTTGGAAGTGCAACTCACTTTTTCCTCGCAGACACCAACGGTTCACAGGCAACCAGATCAGTTCGCTCACATGGCGCTGTCTCTAGCGCGCAACCAAGCCCTCTCCACGTGCCTTCCCGCTGCGAGCCATCTTTCGCTTCTGCTCCTCCGCGCTTTTCATCGACACGCCTCCCCCGTCGCAGGCGCTGCTACTCGCGCTGCTGCACACCCCGCAGCCAGCAGCAGTCTTCCCCACGCGTCGCACATCCGTAGCGCACACAGCGGCGCCAACGGCATCCCCCCGATCCCTTCTTTCTGGAGCCCCTCTGCGGAGTCAACGACCGATTCAGCGGCGCTCTCCGCCCTTGATTCCGCGCTGCTCGGCAATGGCGGCGCCGCGTCGCCAGTCGCGTGGCGATCGCACGCAACGGCGAATGCGACGCTTTTGGATAACATTTCTCAACAGCTCGACGCCGCGCGACACGCTGCGACCACTGCCGAACCGCTTAATCATCCGGCGCAGACAGCTCATCTGCCAGAGAGTGAAGCATTAGATTCAGTATTGCGTATGTTTTCAACTCCGAAGCCGAGCCCTCTCAGCCAATCGTGGGACGCCGATTCGCCTCCGCGCGACGCATCTCTCAACGTGCTGTCGGAGTACACTCTACCGGGGATGCCCGAGCAGGGCTGGCGAGCCTCGTGGGGCGACGAGAAACGCGCAGGGGTCTCGCCTCGAGGACGCCCAGTGCACGATACGCCTCCTCCTGATTTTTTGGCAGCGGACAGCGGCACGTTTTATGGGGGAAGCCGGAAGGCTCGGGCCATGCCGTTCGTGTCTATAACTGCTGGGGTGGTATTTGAGCTGGACGATTGAATATGGTTGCTAGACGTTTATGGCAGCATATTGGGAGAAGAATGAAGGGGTTTGTACAGGCCTCTACTATTCTTTCATGCATTGCTTCATTCAAAGCCAGATCAGGTTCCTGATTTATTATATTTAAAAAAATATGTACAAGCGTCCTGTTCCTATCTACAAGGTTAAGAGTTTTTGCCCTCGTCCTTATTTGTATGACAATCACTTCTTTATTGAATTCTGCGCACTCCCGTAACATATGGGGGCTTCTTTTATACAGAGGAGTACAATTCCACTCTCTTTTGTACTCCTCGTTACCGTACCTATGTTCCAGCCCCGGTCGGATCGCAACCCTTGCTCAACAAAGCAAGGGAAACGGCGAAATGACGCGCATCGGCGGGATTCGCGTTTCTCTCAATTGCATCGACCTGAATTACTCACAGCTCGCCACGCGGGCGTTTTTATCAATTGGATGGACCGCGTTTCCGCCCCCCCCCCCCCCCCATCCCGACTTTCCCGCCCTTCCCCTCCGAATTTCGGGCAACAGCTCGGAACTCGCGTGAAATCACAACCAGTCACAATTACCCGCCAACCACAAAATGCTACAGCGTCCAGGTACTTGTGGCATGCCACATCACCATTCCTACAGAATCTCGATAAATTTCGTGGTTGCTTTCAGGTGTCTAGAGGCTCCAATGGACGTTGATTGTATCGTGATTTATGCGATTAGCCCAAGTCATTTCCCGCCAAGGACATGATGCCAGATGTGTGGTGTTCAACGGTTCATGAACCGTTGCGAAATCAACATGACCGTATGCGGAAGGCCCGTTTCCCACAGATTTCGGATATGCTAGATCATTCTTGTGATACTTGGTAGGGTAAAACTACTGGGTCTCCATTACGACTACAGTTAGTTAGTCCTCCTTAATTTTGGTCAGATCTGTTTACTATGTGACTCTTAGGCCTTCGTAATGGCGTCCAATCCCTTAGCGCAGGCATTGCGCCAGCTAAACGCGGCACCCGAGTTCTGCCCACGTTACGACAGGCCTAACGATAACGCGCCATTGGAGCTGGGAGGCCTATACTCTAGCTGTGATAAGTGCAAGGAGGCCGTCTATGTTTATGCCCTAGAGCATCGGTTTGGTGTTAAAGTTCTCCTGGTCAAGCATAACTACGCAGTGATTGGTTGCAAGGCCACATCGGACGGCTACTTACCGGCGTGCCTATGGAGTTGCGCATACGGTCATATCGGCCACGGTGGCCTATGGCGCATTACTCACCTGGTTCCTCCGGAGGCGCATACGTGTCCATTGGATTGGAGGCAAGGTTACGCTGAGGGGATAGCCAACACAATTCCCGTGCTGGCTCGGCGCTACGGCAACATGGTCCGTGCCAATCCGTTCATCTCACCGGTGGAGCTCAAGAGAATGCTCGAGGGCCATGGGAATGTCGTGATCCACTATTGGCAGGCTTGGCGGCTTCGGGAGTACATCATGGCCGAGCGTTACGGCGACTGGAAGGAGTCGTTTCGACAAGTGCCTTGGCTTCTCAAGCGTTTCTGCGTAATCGATCCCGATGTTCAAGTGCGGTTGGACACTCTCGGCGGTTGCTTTCACCGGTTCTACGTGCGGCCATCCGCAGCACGTCATGCGTTAAATTATTGCCGCCCTGTCGTCGCACTCGACGGCACACATCTCATTAGTGCGCAAAAGGCAGTGCTACTCATTGCAGTCACCATCGACGGCAACCAGGAAATACTGTTACTGGCATGGGCCTTGGTGGAGTCGGAGAACAAGGATGCTTGGACGTGGTTTCTGAAGCTGTTCCTCGAGGGATTTCCGGAGTGGGCGCAGAGGGACGATGCCTCCATCATCAGCGACCGCGACAAAGGGTTGGTGCCCGCTGCACGGGAGGTGATGCCGCGCCACATCCCACATTATTTCTGCGCGTGGCATTTGGAGCAAAACCTGAAGCGGTTTGGAAAGGCGGCAACGGCGTTTTTTTGGCGCCTGGTGAAATGTCGCTGCGAAACGAAATGGGTGGCGCTTGTCGCTGCCTCTCGAAGAGACTTTCCGGAGATGGCTGCATATCTATTTGGTCCTCTCCGTCAGCAGCCGCAGCCAGCGCCGCAACCAGCGCCTAACGTGCCCCCTCCTGGAACACGTGCGACCTATGAGGGTGCCAGGGCGTACGTGTTCGCCGGTGCGCGCGAAGGGCGGAGGGCGCAGAGAGGGCAGGGTCAGGGTGCCAACGCTGGAACCGAGGGTGTTGAGAGCGCGTCGCAACCCCATGGAAGCGGGTTCCCGGAGAGCAACCCCGCAGCGTACAACAGGCGTGGAGGAGGTCTTTCAGGCAGGGGTGGGATGAACCAAGGCGGACGGAGGGCCAGAGCTCATCGGGGAGCTGGCGTCCCATCCGGGATGAACGATGAAGGAGAAGGCAGTGGAGGTCGAGGTCGGGGCAGTGCGACATTCGGACGTGGACGCAGAGGGCGTGGCGGTGGTGTTGCGGGTAGCGGCCTTGGCAGGGAAGGGAGCGGAGTACCCCTCGGTGGGGATGCTGGAGAGCATGGGGGTGCCGGACCTGAATGGTCCGGCCTTGGAGGCGGAGGGGGAGGAGTGCCACACAGTGGGGATTCTGCAGCGCAGGGGGGTGCCGAACCTGAATGGTCCGGCCTTGGAGGCGGAGGGGGAGGAGTGCCACTGGGTGGAGCACCAGGAGGGCAGGGAGGAGTGGGAGCAGAGAGGTCTGGCATTGGAGGCGGAGGGAGAGGGGTGCCCCTTGGTGGGGCACCAGGTGGGCAAGGAGGTGTGGGAGCTGGGTGGTCTGGCATTGGAGGCGGAGGGAGAGGGGTGCCCCTTGGTGGGGCACCAGGAGGGCAGGGAGGTGTGGGAGCTGGGTGGTCTGGCCTTGGAGGCGGAGGGAGAGGGGTGCCCCTTGGTGGGGCACCAGGTGGGCAAGGAGGTGTGGGAGCTGGGTGGTCTGGCATTGGAGGCGGAGGGAGAGGGGTGCCCCTTGGTGGGGCACCAGGAGGGCAGGGAGGTGTGGGAGCTGGGTGGTCAGGCCTTGGAGGCGGAGGGAGAGCGGTGCCCCTTGGTGGGGCACCAGGTGGGCAGGGAGGTGTGGGAGCTGGGTGGTCTGGCATTGGAGGCGGAGGGAGAGCGGTGCCCCTTGGTGGGGCACCAGGTGGGCAGGGAGGTGTGGGAGCTGGGTGGTCTGGCATTGGAGGCGGAGGGAGAGCGGTGCCCCTTGGTGGGGCACCAGGTGGGCAGGGAGGTGTGGGAGCTGGGTGGTCTGGCATTGGAGGCGGAGGGAGAGCGGTGCCCCTTGGTGGGGCACCAGGTGGGCAGGGAGGTGTGGGAGCTGGGTGGTCTGGCATTGGAGGCGGAGGGAGAGCGGTGCCCCTTGGTGGGGCACCAGGAGGGCAGGGAGGTGTGGGAGCAGAGAGGTCTGGCATTGGAGGCGGAGGGAGAGCGGTGCCCCTTGGTGGGGATGCTGGAGGGCAGGGAGGTGTGGGAGCTGGGTGTTCTGGTATTGGAGGCGGAGGGAGAGGGGTGCCCCTTGGTGGGGCACCAGGAGGGCAGGGAGGTGTGGGAGCTGGGTGTTCTGGTATTGGAGGCGGAGGGAGAGGGGTGCCCCTTGGTGGGGCACCAGGAGGGCAGGGAGGTGTGGGAGCAGAGAGGTCTGGCATTGGAGGCGGAGGGAGAGCGGTGCCCCTTGGTGCCGCACCAGGAGGGCAGGGAGGTGTGGGAGCTGGGTGGTTCGGTATTGGGGGTGGGTATGGAGGCGAGCCGCTGTTCGGGCCTGGAGCAAGAGACAGTGTCTATGCTGCGAGTGGTGAGGTGGTTGGGTCTGGATCCAGTCTCGGAACTGCAGGTCCCAGTCGCTCTAACAGAGGGCGACTCGGCGATATCAGGTTTGGTGTGGGGTCGGGGTTTAGGGTTGGTGGCCTAGGCGCCAGTGTCCTGGGTGGGCAGGCGTCTTTTGGACATGGTTCCCGGCCAGCATCCAGTGGGGAAGATGTGCGGCGTGCGACAGTGTTCGGTTCTCAAGAGTCTGCACCATCCACCGGCACGGGTTTCGGTGGCACAGCACTCACCACTGTAGGTACCCCGTGTGCACCGGCCTTCGATGTCAACTCGGTTCTGCGTCGTGCACGTGAGTGGTACCGGGCTGAGGACATTGACACAGGGAGGAACACGCCCACTCATGGAGTGCCAGAAGGTCAGTATGCTGAACAATTCCACCCTGCATCGGCGCTCGCGCTGCCATGGCCGGATTGCGGGCAACGAGCAAATGGTCCGGCTCAAGGGGTGGACGAGCCTGCCTTTGAGGAGGATCCGGTCCCAGAGGATGCCCAGGAGGATGGCGATGTGCCAAACGACGGTGATGGTGAACCCGGCATCCACGTGCGAACCGGGTTCTATCGCAACAGGCGCGGATCATCCTATCGCATTGGGGGGATCATGCTGCTGCATTGGGCTCGTCTATTTGCGGTCACGCTGCGTTTTGGCATCTACACAAGCAATGCGACAGAGTCCATCAACAGCGCTGTCCGGTCCATTCGCATGCTGCCACCAACATGGCTTCTGGCATCTCTGTGGGATTGGTTCCGCGACAAGTGGTACGCCAGGCAGGAGAATGCGCGACAACGGGATGAGTATCTCACTGTGGCTGCAGCCAAGCGTCTCGATCAGAAGAGGCTGAGGTGCCAGGGGTACTGGTTCATTGGCGGTAACAACACGGTGGGCACCATCCAGACAAGGGGGGGCGAGAACGAAACCCAGTGGAGAAGCTTCAACGTGAACCTCGACGGCCGTACGTGCGATTGTGGGAACTGGGAAGAGTACCAGTTCCCATGTGCGCATGCCGTGGCCATGTGCATTCTCAAGAAGCGGAGTGTGGAGCTCTTCGTGTCTGAATACTATACCACCCGCAACCTTCGCCAGACATACAACCGGCATGTGCTTGGTACATGTGTGGACAGGCTGGTCATGGAGGCTCCAAGGGCAACGGAGGGCGATTGTGACGCGCCAGCTCTGATCGAGACAAGGCTTGGAAGGTCTGAGAATCACACCCGGTTTGAGGCCCCGCCACATGCATATCGGTGCGGTAGATGCCGACAGCATGGGCATAACCGGAAAAGGTGCAAGTTCAAGTACGGGGGGTACGGGCAAGCACAGGCTGAGGAGGCGCCTGCTGGCGAAGATGATGATGAGGATGAGGCTGCAGCTTCACAGGCAGCAGCACCCTAGTCCGTGGGGGGAAAGTAATTTAGTTAAGATGTGGATCATGGGATAAAATTGGACGTGCGGGCGTTTTATTACATGATGAAAGTTTCTTAGTGCTTTGAATGTGTGTTGGCTAACTCTGGTGTGTGAGTTTTTGAATTACAGTCAGCTATAGCGCAAAATTGCATGAATACTACCGTTTTTAAATGGCAAAATTCCCACATGATTCTAATAGACCAAGCTGCTTGACGTAAATTTGGGGTACCAAAATCGGCGAAGACCCGAACAAAAATCATGCTCTTTCATGACCCCTGCGGTGCCTGTATATGTAGGTACAGTCGCAAGTGCTAGCGATCATGAGAGCTCCTCGTGCGTTCATGAAGCCACGCTACAGTTTTGGCAATCTGGTTTATCGCCAGAAACTGATCATGACGGGACATGAGGACAGTTGCGTATCATGACCGCCACATTCGGATTGTTCGGGCCACCACGAACATACATGTTTCGTAGACCGCCCGATCATGACTCGAACGGCAGGCGCAAGACGCAACATGTTTCGGACACGGCCGAGCATGAATCGGGATAGACTGCACATGTTCCGAAACAAATACGCGTTACGCGAAATGTTTTGGTTTCTGCAGTCTAGATATGGCACCAGTATCTTGTAGCATTAACTGGGCAGATTATTGTGTGGAGCTCACATTTTGAAACTATGACTGCATGCCTTAGTTAGTACAAACAAATCTCAGCCATGCAATATTTAAATACAACGGACTCCAGTCATCCGAAATTCTGTAGAATGTGTCAAAAAAAGAATAATAAAATTTAACTGTTAGCATGGTGTCCCAAACCAACCCAAATTACTGTAAGGGACTTGAGTATCTGTCTAAAGACTTTTGCCATGGTTTGTCAATATGCAGCCATGATGTTGAGAAATGATGTGGACTGGGGTTTTTAACGGTAATCTCAACTGGTTATGTAAACATGTAATGCTTTGCAAAAGTATGTATACGTATATCATGTCTGAGCTCTATGTTGACGTACTAGTTGGGTGCTTCCATTCAATTAAAGGTAACGGTAACCCATCACGTCAAGGAGTGGCTGAATGCCCCAATAGGCTGTTGGTTTTGGGGGTAATTCATTGGGTTCTACAAACAGGTTGTCCTTGGGTCCTTGGTCAGGACTCAGGATGAGGGTGATCACACACGAACAGGGCCTGTGCTAGGATTTAGGGCACCCTGAGCCCACCCCATGTGCTAGGATTTAGGATCAAGCAGAAGGGGAGCAGGTTGTCCAGTGGTTTCACTACAACTGGATGAGCAAAAACTTTGGAGGGAGAGGGGTGGGGACAAAACTAGCACACTCACCCCCAGCCTCCTTCCTCCCTTCTCCCCCTCTCCTCCCCTCAACCCCTTCTTCCCCTTCCCACGAGTCATGGCATCCCTCTACATTCACCCTAACGCTTCCGCACAAAATTTCACTGCCATTATGAAATTCCAGGGCAAACCTGAAACACCATCTTGAATTCAGGGTAATCAGGATGTTTTGCCCGGATACCGTGGGCCCTGCACACGAACACGTTGGCTTCCACCGTTGGAGGCAGGGTCATATAATTATAATGCTTTGTTGCAATGCAACAAAGCTCGAGTGAGGTGATGGACCATGGGCTTAATTTAGGGATGTTACGGTGGTTATATTGTGTGATTTTAAACCAAAAGCACTGGAGCATGAAGGGCTGTATCTATTACATGAATATCCCAATTGCACAGGAAACAAAACGCGTAGCGGATCTTTTTGTATCAGGCGTAAAAGCGTAGGCCCAACGCGTTGGTTACCACCACGCGTCATCACTTTAAAGCTGATTCTTTACACGGATCATGATCGCTGGGCGTTCGTGCATGAGTCCTCGGGTCTTTGCTTGCAATTGACATTCCTAGGGAACTCTGAGAAAAGTAGAACGAGAATGAATGAACTATGAATGAAGTGAGTACATATGGGAAACCCTAATTCGGTTGTACCCCCTATGGGATACCCCACTATAGCCTACACAACAGCATAAGCTATATATATGGTCTGACACACCCCCATAGGCAAAGTGGGGGAGAACAAGGGGTCACAAGACCAGTCAAGCAAAGCAGAGCAAGCTCAGGGTGGATCACAAAGTCACCACACAGTCCGAGCACAACGACAGGGCAACAGGGCCAGTTCACATGCAGGAGTACACATATATATATAGAGCTAGACAAGCAAGAGCAGGAATATATATGTGACAGTACAAGCAAGGTCAAGAAGAGAGCAAGTGAGGCAAGACAGGTACAAGACCCAGCTGGGTGCAGAAGCGCTGATGGTCACAAGGCGCAAGTGCCTTGGTGAACACATCAGCAGTGTTGGCCTCAGAGGCCACGTACGCAAGTCGCAACTGACCACGCTGCTGCAGCTCACGAGCAAGAAAGTAACGGAGAGCAATGTGCTTCGTTCTGTGCTCCAAGCGCTGCTCTCGACACAAGGCCAGCATGGCCTTGTTGTCTACGTACAACACTGGAGGAGAACGAGGCGGCTCTCCAAGGTCAGTCAGCAGGTAGGTGAGCCAGCGAAGCTCCTGTGCAGCCATGGCCCCGGCGTAGATCTCAGCCTCACAACTGGAGCTGAGAACAGAGGACGAGCGAGTAGCCCGCCACGAGACAGAGCCGGAACCAAGACTGAAGGTGTAACCCTGCGACGACCGCTGTGTAGCCTGGTCGTCTGCCCAAGAAGCGTCCGCGTGCCCAGTGAGGACCACTGGACTCCGCCCTCCAAGCACTAGCCCCATGCCCGACGTACTGCACAAGTAGCGCAACACCCTCTTCGCTGCAGCCATGTGCTCTGGTCGGTGTCTCCCAGGAGCAACATAGCGTGAAAGAATGCTAAGAGGGTATGCAAGGTCAGGTCGTGTGCAGGTCATCAGGTACATGAGGCAGCCAACAAGCTCTGGGTACGGGCCACTCGACTCTACGGACTCATCCGAAGGCAGAGCTGAGAGCGAGTGGCGAGTAGACAGAGGAGTGGCCTGAGGCGAGGAGTACGTGAAGCCGAAGCGCTGAAGGACCTGCTGCACCATGTGTGACTGAGTCAAGGTAATGGTGCGGCGTGCTCTGTCCCGAGTGATCTGCAAGCCAAGGTAGCTGCGCAGTTCACCCATGTCTGTGCACGTGTGTCTCTTCTGCAGCTCGGACTTCACGTAGGCTAGTCCAGCAGTGTCAGCTGTGGCAAAGACCAAGTCGTCGACGTACACGAGGACGTAGAACGGCGGCAAAGAAGTGTCGGTGCGCAGAAACAACGACGGGTCAGCAGTAGAGGGAGCAAACCCAAGAGCCGCAAGCGTAGTCCTCAGTGTGTCGTGCCACTCACGCGGTGCCTGGCGGAGACCGTAGACTGGCCGTCGGAGGCTCCACTGGGTGCCAGGAGGAAAAGTCCCAGTGAAGCCAGGTGGACGGCGCAGCCAGATCTCCTCGTGCAGGCTACCCTGCAAGAAAGCAGTACTGAAGTCAAGAGAGTGGAGCTCGTAGTCGCGCTGAGCGGCTATGTGCAGCAGCACCCGAAGAGTGGTCATCTTCGGGGTGGGAGAGAAGGTCTGAAAGTAGTCAACTCCCTGCCGCTGACTGAAGCCACGAGCGACGTACCGCGCCTTGAAGACAGGTGGAGAGCCCGGCGGCCGCTTCACCCTGAAGATCCACATGCCACTGACGATGTTCGCCCCAGGAGGGGGAACCGCGTCAACGTAGGTGCCTGTGGACTTCCAGGACGCCATCTCTGCATCCATAGCTGCCTGCCACTGAGAGGAGTAGGGACCCTCTACGGCCTCCGCGTAAGAGCGCGGAGTCGGGATGTCTAGTGCATCCGGGTCTCCCTCAGGGGCAAGTAGTACGGACGCGAGATGAGGTGAAGCAGCAGCCAGACACCTGAACTCCTCCTGCCTGTCCTCAAGGACGTCCGTGCCAAGAGCACACTCACCCCCGACGGACGGAGGACAGACAGACGCAGACTCAGCAACAAGACCGGCAGCGTAGTCTAGACGACAGCGAGCAGCAAAGTCGACGAGCTCAGCAACAAGCGCAGACGCAGCAGTGGACTCAAAAGAGGGGTCAGTGACGACAGTAGCAAGGAGACGTGTGACAGCAGGACTGGCAGCACGAAGAGAGTCCGACTCCGGGTCAGGAAGAGCAGGAAGAGAGGACTCAGGAGGAGAAGGCAAAGGGGCACGCAGAGGAGCAGTGGACGGACGCAGAGACATCCGGTGCGTGCCAGGGACAGGAGGAGGACGCTGACGCGAACCACGACCACTAGTGCGAGCAGCACGGACAGGCGACGCAGGGCGAGACGCAGGCTCACGACGCTCAGCAAGACCTCCAGTAGGACCAGTGTAGGGAGAAGGAGCGGGCAGTGGGGAGGCCGGCTGTAACTGTAACTGTGACAGGACAGGCTGTGGACACTCTAAGGGAGGAGGAGGACCAGTAGAAGGCGGGAGACCAAGAACCTGCTGAAGGAGCGGAACGAAGTACGGTCTAGGCCGCGCGGCGACTCCAGACACAGCAGGGACAGCACCAGTACCCCCAGCGGCAGCACCAGCGCCAGCAGCACCTCCAGCTCCAGGACCTCCAACAGCACCAGTAGCACCCCCAGCAGGACCGCCTCCAGGACCGACAGCAGTAGCCTCAGCGCCAACGCCCTCAGCAGCTCCAGCTCCAGCACCTCCGGGACCCGCGGCACCAGCACCCTCAGCAGCCGAAGAACCTCCAGCTCCAGCAGCACGCCTCCAGCGCCGGGCAAACCACTCGCGCAGCTCCTGTGGAGAGAGGGGCTCCCGCCGAGGCGAAGCACCCGGAGAACCGCCAGGTCCCGCACCGCCAGACGCCACAAGGGGAGGTCCAGTGGCCGCAGGCTCCGCAGCTCCAGGCTCAGCACCTCCAGACGCAGCACCCCCTGGCTCAGCACCCCCAGTAGCAGCACCCCACGGCTCAGCACCCCCAGACTCCGCACCCCCAGGC